GAGTGTTAACACTTGAGTGTTTTTTCCGCAAGGGAAGTGACGAGTTACATCCCAACCCTGTATTAGCTTTACGTTTATTATTGTGGACCGACGTGTGGTACTCGGAAAGAGTGAATGTTTATCGGAACAAAGAAATCTGCACGTTTTCGTAATAAACGGAGTTCCGACATCATATTTTGCTAACGTATGACACTTAAAAGATATACTGTAATCCAGAAACGGAATATTACCACTGCTGCAACAGCTGACACGATTCTCTCTTGAGACATGGATAACTGCATCGAGCGCGCACGTCGGTAGTGCGTTTCGCGCGAAGTGAATTAGAGGTGGTACAGTTTTAGCCGACAATTCCGCGGCACGGCTATAGGCGGGAAAGCCACAAAAAAGGCGCGAGAAGCACGACAATTACGTCGCCATCTGACAATTAGTAGCTAGTAAACGGCGCTTCTTGGCATAATGTCGCCGCGAATAGCTTTTCGGAATATTTATTGTCGCGGCGTACGAGAAACCACCTGGAACCGTAAGTTGAACGGCTCTTTCCCGTTCTTCTCCCCGCGAGTTTAATAGCTTTCGACTCTATCGGAATAATTTATGCCAATGGGTTCAAATGGTTACGGCGTTGTTTCCACTATCTTCCAAAGCTTTTCATAATTGTCAGTTCTTATCCTTAATTTTATTCCAGCTTCAGTCTTAAATTAGCGGAGGAAAGTCTCCTATTACGAGATAGCAGGTTTTCAACATCCAATCACAAATCATTACACGATCTAACAATGAATTTTCCACCGGACAGATTTCACTCCGAGGGCACTGAATTCACGTTGGAGCCAACAGATGATGTCTTAATTTAGCAGAAACCCTGCTATCTCATATTAGCAGCCCATCTCGTAATATGGGATGTTTCTTCTGCAATTCTTCAATCGTACTTTATTCAGCTACTTCTTTTATTCTTCGCAGCGCATTGACCATTGATTCTTCTTATTACTGATAAGTAAGTTGAATAAATTATATTTTTCAGATTTCATAAGATAAATTAATTTTGCCGTCCAGAAAAAAGAATCCATTGAAAAGCTATTGCAGAAGCGTCGTGATTGTTTCAACGGCGAACCGGCCTAATATTCTCAACGTTAATCGCAAGCGTGAAAGCTCGGTCGGCGGTTGCGGTGCCACACTTTTTCGTCGGATGACGAATGGGCAGATAATTAGAAGATGATCCTCCGACGCTTAAAAGAGCGGCGGTCTTGTTACCAGCTGCCTAAAAGCGAGCCCGAGGACATTCTTCACGACACGCGGCGCGACGTCGTGTACGGCAAGTCTTGTGCGAGCCGGGATAAATATAAATATAAACAACTTGGACGTGGAAAAAGTTGCGAGATTAATGAGAAAGGGGGATTCCACGAGGGTAATTGGGGCCCCGCTCGCATTCGACGGTATGGGCTCGCGCGTGTTATTCTGCCTCATTCAAAAGCGATTAAAAAGATAAAGATATAGAGTGACGTATACAACGGGTTGCGAGTGAATGATGACGCGATTTCGACGCTCGCATCAATTATCCCGGCATTCCGCCGTGGTACCTTCTCCTCATTTCCACGTCGAACGTGCAATTTGCAGTTACTCTTAATCGGGCCGTATTTGAGACGGATTCACTTTCGATATTGATATATGCGTCCCATCATCACGGAGGCATTTGCATGATGGGTATTAAGGCCCCCGATTGCGGCGTCAGAAGCATCGTCGTTGATACATGCCGTTGTTAATTGCTTGCAAAGTAGCTTAAAGAGCTTGTATCTCAGGTTGTTTTGCTCGTGTCACTGCTACATATTTTACAGAGTTGAAAGTTACTTTATAAAAGTATCTAGTTATAGTTACAGTTTTTTCATTAAAAACGTAACTAGTTACATATGCCTCGGTGGTCGAATTGGTGAGACGCCGGCCTAGAGGGAGGTCCAGGTTCAAACCTTGGCTGGGGTAATATTTTTCGCAATAAATTTTCTGTATTATTAAAGATGCCAGGTATGGTCAAGAAAACACTGGCGTTGGTGACTAGTTACAGTTACAAGTTACCAATTCTGAAAAGTAACGCGTGACAGTTACAGTTACGCAAAAAGTAACGAATCGTTGCTTTGCAGTTACTTTCTTGCAATGAAAATAAAAATATGAAATCTGGAATTGTTAAGTGTCGATAGAGGCGTTTATGCGCAAAGGCAAGGCCCAATGCGGTCTGTGGAGGTTTAAAAAATGTATAATATAAAGAAAGTAACAAAGTTAACATTAGTATTTTCTTGACAATATCTGGCATTTTTAATAATGCAGAAAATTTATTGCGAAAAATATTACCTCAGCCAGGGTTTAAACCTGGATTTCCCTACTCTCTAGGCGGGCGTCTCACCAATTCAACCACTGAGGCATGTAACAAAGTTAGAGTTACCAAAAAAAAGTAACTGTAACTTACAAGTAACGAGGTACTAATCATATCAATCCTGATATCTCGGTATACAAGGGGCGGAACATTTTTGCAGAAGCGTGCACCAGCAGTAGCGGCGCGAATTCGACCACGAGCGCGGACAGGGACGTCCAGGAGAAGGCCGCCGCCGCTATTAGCGACGACGAGAGGAAGAAGAGGCCACGCACCGCGTTCACCGCCACGCAAATTAAATCCTTGGAGGCGGAATTCGAGAGGAACAAGTACCTGAGCGTGGCGAAGCGGCTGCAGCTGAGCAAGAATTTGAAGCTCACGGAAACGCAAGTAAATACCGCTTGTTTTATTACGTATTCATGTACTATTTCTGATTATTCCTTCTTGAGGAATTTCTCAGCTGCTTTTCAGAGGAAGCTACATCGTAATGTAGATCATAATTTTCAAGACTATGGCCGGTATTTATAGTCAAATCTTATACTCAAGACCGTCTTACGATCATCCTCAGCTATTCCGTAGCCAATGAAATGTTCCATACGGCAGATTCAGATAAATTCAAGACGGTCTTGAATATAAGATCTGAATATGAATACCGGCCCGTATATTTAAAACCGTCTGGAGTTTATCTTAGGATGCTGTACGGAACATTTTATTCTCTGTTTAAGGCCCGGTTTCACCAAACGTCGCTTAACTTTAATCTTGCTTTAATTCACGTTTGTCTCTTTCTAAAGTAACAGTTGGAAAGAGACACAGAAAGAATAAAGCTAACAAGTTAAATAACGTTGGCGAAACCGGATCTGAAATTATAGATAGAACACGATCAGATAAATAAATAAGAGTCTTATTAATTTACATTGAAATTGCATGTAATCTAATGTAATCCACTTGTTGGCCATCAAAGATGATCTTAAAACGATCTTAAATATAAGATCTGACTATGAACACCGCCCTTGTCCGATATCATAATTTTAATTCTGCTGCCAATTATTCCAGAGCGTTTCTGTATTGCGTCATAAACAAACTTAATTGGACCAGAAGACGGAAGATCGACGGGGTCATGTTCCAGAACAGGATATTGTACTCGATAAATCGCGATAATGCCTTTGACTTCCGTAGACTTGCCTCAGCACCTGAAAGAGTTTAAGTCCCATGTACTTCGAGTTGTTTGAAATAATCAACTGGCCCTAAATTATGAGCCTGCGGGGCACCATATGTGCGGGCGCCAGGTCATGGCGCCATTGGGGAGGATCGTCCTTTAAAACCAATTAGCACTTCTACCCTTCTTTCGCGCGAACTGTTAGGAAACTTTTTACCGTGCATTTAACCTTCCCAAACATTTTTTTATTCTACACTACCGGAACTCGGCTATACGGCGTTTCAAATATAATATAAAGAACACGTCTTAGGCAAAGGTATTTCACAGAATGGAGGAAGTGACATATTGAAAATTATTGCTCAAGTTATTATAATATTCGTATGTGAATGCGATAGTTTAATGGTTTCGTTGGTCCAAAGAAACGCAAAATTGATCATTTTCTTTCCGCGTTGTTACCGAAACCTCGCTCTTTTCCTGCATCGTCCATCACGCCACGGACTTTCCGCGGATGTTATCTTCTAATATTAACCGAGAGAGTACTCTATAATTTCCCGACATGACGATTCCTCCGCAAAGCTCGCGGAGTGCGACGTGGTTGCGTAAGTGTCGGCAATGGCACTTTGTAGCGTGCGCCTGATACTCGGCCGGGCTCTAAACTAATTAATTTACGGCCCGCACCCCCAGAATATTCGCCATCGCGGAGATTGCGCCACGCCGTCATCGCCGACCAGTTGCTCGCCTGGCAATAATTGCCAGCGCCGGTCGAAATATCGCGAACGAGCCGGATAATTATCTCTCCGCGATCGCTCTCGAAAGGAGGAACGATCGGACGACGGATCAGAGGCAAGAAAGAGACGCGTCGTGCCGCAGACATAACTGTCACAATATTTCTCGGAGTTAACGAGCCAGTTCGGGAGAGACCCCTATTTCCCCCCTTCTCGCGAGCCATCTCGTACGTTCCGTCGTCGCGGGCTTGCATCCGCCGCAGAGCGAAACGTACCGAGCGACGGCTGCTGCGCGCCGTCGAGGCGACGAACCGGAGAGGCGTCGATTTTTTAATTAGAATACGTCGTCGGCCCCTTATGTTCGCGTACCGGCTGCCGGGGACTCTTTGGGAAATCCTCATCTGTATAGGAGACATTAGTTTTCTACGATACGCAATTATTTATTCAAATTGGACGCCATGAAACAGACAGTACGTTTTGGCAGTTTCGCGAATAGATTGAATATATTAAATCTAATAAAATAGGGATTTCTCAAATGTACTTATACTCACGTCGTTTATAAACCTTGTATTCATTTGAAAACGACGTGTTACATTTAAAAATGTTATGGCTTTTCTTATTCATACTTCATTGTGGCACGTATGTATTGTATTGCCAAAAATGACATGAGAATCTTTACGATCGTACGATTCTGATATTAATTTTTTAAAATAAATTCGCAGTAGAAATAAATACTTGGTTAGGCTAATTAATAAACACTCTAATTAACTGACAAACTTCGTGTTTCACGCGTCGCGCGTAAATTTCTATTAATTTTCTATAGCAATAAATTTCTTTCTTCTTAAAAAATTTCTTTAATTAAAATTTGCCAGTTGTGTCGATTAAATTTCCTACATTAGTTAATTATTCACTGGCGACAATAATTCTTTATTCTTACTATTAATTTTATCTTTTACAGATAAAGATATGGTTCCAAAATAGACGGACTAAATGGAAAAGGAAGTACACTAATGACGTCGAGCTATTGGCGCAGCAATACTATTCGAGCTTAGGAATTCCAGCACCACGACCCATTTTTGTCGGTGATCGCTTATGGTATAGGTCTAATAAAAAGTACAATTATTTTCCCAACAAACACCTCTTTCTTGTAAAGAATGTACATGGTGTACGTCTCGCGAGAGTTTACTGTTAACATCTACGCGGAGAGACTGTTCTCTTAAAATTTATCCTGAAAATCATGCGAGACAACGAAACAAAGAAAATTCTCTCCGTATAGTGTAGACTGTAGATCATGTTTTGTGGTACATTAACGTGTATCTCTTTGTAGGTTCTTCAATTACCCGGGACAAACGCAACCGGCAATACCATTGCTGCCGCAGCATTTAACACCGTTATCGCTACCGCCTGCATTGCCTATTGTTCAACCGTTGCCCAGTAATCTATCGATGAGACAACAAACATCCATCTTTCAAAACATACCGACCAGCCACATCGCGCATCATCTAACTCAGAGATTGGACTTTAGGCATCACGACCCTTAATTTGCGGGTACCTAAATTAAATCGGTGTGACCAGTTATATAAAATAAATTAATAATCCTTTGCGTACAGAGCAGTATGCGACTATGAAATCAAACTTGTTTGTCAGTAACGAACGTTATAACTGTGTAGCGCACTTCTTTAGTATAGCGTACCATATCGATACTGATCGATTACGAAACGCATAACTATCACTATTTTAATTTGTTACTCAAGTTAAATTACATAAGATATTTATTTTATATATTTTTTCATAAAATGATTTATTTATGAATATTTTTGGCCATGATTTCATTGGCCAATTGTTTTTACTAAAACGTGTATCATAAATGCAATATTTCATGAAGATAACTCGTTAAACACATGTGGATTCATTGTACTCAAAGGATTAAATCATTTCATGGTACGGCATAGAAAGATTATAATCTAATTTAAATATATACTCGGATAGGAAATGTAATACAGACTCGTATAAATAAACTGCTTTTGGCGCAAGATATACTTTGACGAAGCAAATATATTTGCCATTCGACAACACGAAATTTGTAAAGGATAGGACTAAAATTATAAGTCACTAGATTATCTTTTTATGTACGCATTTATAAGGTATATAACATGTATAAAATAAATAATTTTTTAATATAATATAGTAATAACTATACATGTAAATTTGACTTTTAAAAAAGAACAAAATTAAAGTATTTACATATTATTAGCGACAAGTGTAGAAAATATTGTTGTAAATTCGATGTACATCATAAGAGTAAGAAAAAATTAGGTTGCCAAATTCTCTTAGGACTGTGCATAAGCTTTTGTGCGGGTTCATATGGAAAATTTTTATTATTGTACAAAGTTTACATCTATCATCACAAAGCAGAGGGAGACAAAATCTTACTAACTCCCAAAATCTTGTCGTCGTGGGCCGCCTGATCCTGAATAATCTTTGCATATTTTTCATTATCCTGTAAATCCTCTTCATCCAGCATTTCCTGCATTCTCTGTTTGTATCTAGAATCCGCGAAACTTGTACGAACGGTCTTCGTAAAGAATAATGTTCAACCTACATATAAATATACTTACATTTCGCTGTCAGGATTGTTTTCCTGATTTCTGCATTTATCTAGTTTCTTCTCTAAAGCTTTTACCGCCTCTCGCGAAGGTGGTTCCACACATTTAGCCATCGAGCGTATTTCTATAAGAGTTTCTATAACTTGTAAATATGAATGGCCTATGCAGTGTGAGCACGTGCAGATGTCATGCAATACACAAAACATAATTACTTCGCACAGCTTCTATGATCCCACCCAATTGCTCCCTCGAGAAGAGTATGTCAGTGACGTAATTGTCCAGATTTGCGGAAGCCCTGGATGCCGCGTGCAAAGTTGCCGCCAGCGCAACTTGACTCGGAGCATAAAGGAGAACGCTGTCTGTCAGGAAAACCCTTTCCAAGAACTCATCTATATGCAGCCTCAATTTTTCAGGATTTTCCAACGACGTGTACCTTGTCTATGAAAGCACGCACAAATTGTTCACCTCCGTCACATATAAGACGTCGACCTCGACGGAAAGACCACGTACCTTTATATCAATCATCAATCCTTCTACGGGTCTGAATGGATTGTGAACAGTGAGATTATAATTCAACTGCTGCATTAGAAGCAATTCGTTATTAAGAATTATGTCGGATGCCTTTTCTCTATCCCCCTTAATATTTGCTACAAATTGAGATATAGAGACATTAAATTCTTCGACCTAAAATAGAATAGTTCTCGTGTGAAAAAGAGATCAAAATTACAAAGCTGTGAAAAATTATACATCGAGGGGAAATAATTACTTTGCACGCCAGATAAACGCAGGTGACCAGAATCTCCTTCGGATGGTAGTCCATCACGCTGTTTCTGAGGTAAAACCTCTTGAAGTAATGCAAGGCGGTGGCCACGGTGGCGCGAGGCATTGGTGGATTGAATCGACGACAGAAATCCCTTAATTGTAATTCGTAGAAACGGAGCAACGTCCGTTCGTCCGTGTGTGACAGAAAGTGCTCCTCCCTTTCCTCCGGCTGCGTTACATACGTTTTGAATTATATCACATGTTGGTTAAATTAATCTGATAAAGTTATTCGAGATGAACGTAGGAAAAGTGTGGCAAATTCGACATATTAATAATTAACCGTACTTTACACACACACACACACACACACACACACATATATTTTGTACATATAATAAATACGTCTAATGCACAGACATAACCTAAATTTTCATCAACGACATTTGATCTCGGAAATCGTAAGTAAATCGCGCAGAAACGCGTACTTAAAAACGGGCAATAGTTTTAAGTAAACAATTACGGAAAAGTGGACTCACAGTCATGTTGGCGCCGTGCTTCGCGATAAAATCAGTGTTGGTCTTCTCCCGCAAAGCGATCAAATCGCTCTCGTCGCTGAACATCCAGTGTTTCTTTTGCGAGCTATACGGAAACATTTTAGCTACGGGGGTGACGACAAAGGGCGAGAAAAAGAACAAAACAAAAGCGAATCGCGATTAATTGTCAAAATCACGTAAACAGGGTAATATGAACCAAAACTTCGCGACTGGCGCAGCCGGGGCAACTAAAATTATGAACTGGAGAATTAGACGAGCAACGCCACCACGCGGCAACCTCGAAAATAAACGCAGCCGTGATGGAGAAGCCTTGAGCTGCCGCGGTATTAGAATACGTGGAACATGAGCTACGTAGCCAAATGTCCACATTTTGCCAGGTGGGTAACGTATGGACAATTTTTTTCGCGTCCCGCGCTATGGATCCCATGCAATGGGACCTAACACATTTAATTGTACCAAAGTGCTAGTAGAAATAAAGCATGTTGATAAAATGTGATGATTAATGATAAAAAAATTAACCTTTAATAAACTTACTATACAATTTAACATAAATTGTCAGCAAAATTTTATATTTAGTAGTTATACGTATAATTTATATTTCAGCATTTTACTTTTTATTCCACTGCCGTATGTGAGTTTCATGATAAGGGCGTACACGCTCAACATAGACAGCTGCGGGATGTGAAACGGAGAAGATTGGTGTTTGGCTCGTGTCGCTACGTCAATTTTTCGCCGAGTTATAGCGTTTTAAAAATCCGGCGCGCGCGCACCATTCATGAAAGGAGGCCGCGCGAATTTTACGCGAGTAGTACTACGTCCCTAAAAAACTGGGATTAAAGCACACGAAGCACATGTGTTCGGTAGTAAACACCGCCGCGCCAGACACCGCGCGAGACGCCGCGTATACGCGTCGTCTGCTGCTTCTGTTTCAGGATTAAGATCGCGAGTCGATATAATCGTCAATTTCTTCGCACAGAAAAATCGTAGAAAGATGATTCTGGTCTCGTTGGAAAGCTAAGATTCCAGCGCTTCTAACGAGATAAGAATCGCTTATCTCGGCTCATTAGTTCATGAGATATCATTGAATATTTCTGAATAAAAAATTAATTTTCTTCCGAGATCGAGATCGCGAGTCGATATAATCGTCAATGTTTTCGCACAAAAAAATCGTAGGAAGATGATCTTGGTCTCATTGGAAAGCTAAGATTCCAGTACTTCCAACGAGACGAGAATCGCTTATCTCGGATTATTAGTATATGAGATATTATTGATAAATTCCGGAAAGAAAATTGATATTGTCCGAGATCGAGATTGTGAATTAATCTTCCGACTGGAATCGGCGGGAATGGTGGAGGACCTCTACAATGTTAATTTGTTTTTATCGCATAACATTTTAAGTCAAATAAAAACGAAGGAATCATTTTAATAATAATAAAATGCAAAGATTATTTTTACGAGAATGCGATTAAGAGACACTAGACAGATAAAGAGACAGGGCTACAAATTTTCCTTAAACTCCGATTTTCTCACCGTTTTTATTTTATTTACGTGTGAATTTTCTACCTTTTATTAATTTAAGAATTTTCTAACTTCTGTAACTCTGAAACGGAAGCAGATACGAGGGTTTCATTTTCGGCATCGTGTATGTACATCGTGTACATCGCTCACGGCTACAAATTTTACTTAAACTTTGAGTAACTCACCATTTTTATTTTAATTAAATTTGAAATGTCTATCTTTTATTAATTTGAGAATTTTCTAAAATTCTGAAATTCCGAAGCGTCAGAAGATACGACGGCGCCGTTTGCTGCAGCGTATAGGCCACGCTCAGGGCTACAAATTTCGTTTAAACTTCGACTCTCTATTTTTTTAATTTTTTTTAAGTTTGAAATTTTTATCTTTTATTAATTTGAGGATTTATTTAAGTTTGAAATGTCAATCTTTTATTAATTTGAGAGTTTATTTAAATTTGAAATGTCTATCTTTTATTAGTTTAAAAATGTATTTAAGTTTGAAGTTTTTGCCCATATCAATTGCAGATTTGAAATTTAGAAATATACATTTGTACACATCAACTATCGAAGTAAAATCTCGAATCTTAGTAATTAGAATTGAAGTAACAATGATTTTTGTTTCGAAACATTTTCTCGATTGAACAGAATTAATCGTTAATTTAAACAATACTAATAAGTCCGCAGAGTAATACACAAAACGTAGTAGGTAACAGTCACGGAACAAAGTAATGTAAAATATTAAGTACGGAATTTTCCACTTCGTAGGCGGGACAACGAATTCTCAACGTTTTTTTGTTGTTTTTCACTCGGCGCGGTATCGTACGACGTTACGCGGGCCAATGTTTACCCGGAGGTCGCCGTATTATCACTCGCTCGCCGAACGTCGAGCCGGCAAGCAGTGGCGTGAGTCGCTCCGTGCGTCGTATTACTTTTGCGTTATCGGTTTCCAAGACTCGATCGCGATAAATGTAGGGATAAAACGCTATTGATTTGCACACGCTTATTAGTAACAAGTAATGCGTTCGACTAATTACTAAGTTTCTACATACAGCTTGTAATGGAAAATGATTTGTACGTTTAAGCGTCGGCTTTTATCAACGTAGATATTTTACGAGACTAATTCATCTAAAATATGAACACAAACTGCGGTACTTTGTCGCGATTACATCTAATAACTACTTGTTTACCGCAGATTACGCTTGGATTCCGATGCTCGCATTGCGTTTTATATCGTCAATTCAAAAGTGATTTATCCATTATCCTATTCTTCCGAATCAAAAATGCAAGTTCCCATACAGCACATGATATTCGGAGAACGTTCTAAGAATGTTCTAGAATATTCTAGAACATTCTTAGAACGTTCCCCGAATATCATGTGCTGTATGGGTTGTTGGTTTGAGTAATTTGTATGATAGAAAGTCACGCGACATTTGTTAATAATATTTCGTGCGTTTCGCGGTATCTAAAATATCGCGTACGGGAGTGCCTGAAATTTCGCGCGATCGATGATTTTTGCGAGTGAGTGTTGTGTAAGTGCCACAAAGAAATCTGAGAGGAGGAGGAGGCGGCCCAGGAGGCATCGGGCAACAACGGAGAAATCGGTGAGGTGAGTGTCTTACATTTTTATGCTATTTGCTGTTTGTGCAAAATAAAGCATCTGTTCTATGTTTTTATTTTATTTGTTTAAATGATTCAAACGAGGATTCGAATAAGTGCATTAGAGACAAAACCGTACCTATAAAATTTTGTGAGTTTGTATTTAAAAGAAAGACTTTTTCAGTATTCTATATAATTATTATAATAATTACCTATTTAAAAAATATGCAATTTTTATTGCACTGTAATAATTTTTGTTGTCGAAATAAAGTTGCTCACAGAGGAGCAAATTGTGAAGTTCTTTGGAATCGTTCGTTGGTAATATCGGAGGTTCGCGAGGAAATTCGAGGTCGCGAAGAACATAATGTCGCTAACGTCTGTCAACGTTAAAATCTTTTTACAGATTCATTTTTGATCTTCGAGTTGGGTTGAGAATTGTTGGGCAAATAATCTCTATATACCAGATGATTTCTTTCTTGTTCGTATTCTATTCTTGCGTTCCATGTTTAAAAATTTGCTATCGAATATTCGAACATCAGTTACATGGTATGGTATGGTCGAACATCAGTTATACAGGGT